GGCTGATCTCGCCAAGTAAGGCCCCTGGTTATCAAAGAGGAAACGTGTCTTGAAAATGTGCTGGGGCACCGCATTGCCTCCTTCCTAGGAGTAACATGGAAGCTCTGGCCGGGGTCTTTCTTCATGGGGACACACCAGCCCCTATCCTCTCCCAGTCAGGGAGCTAAGCATCCCTTCTCTTTCTCATCTCCCCTTGGGGAGACCTCGCATTACCTTTTTGTTGAGTTTAGGCTTTCACAAACGATAGCAACATATGTTCAATTCAAGTGGCTTCTGCTTTCAGCCCTGAAAACACCTCTAAACTAAGGAATGGTGGGGGGGAGGCAATTTAATTCAAAATAATATCTCAATAAATTATTCTGCCATGTAAAGACGAGGAAGCTGATACTCAGAGAGGCAAACTCACTTATCTAAGCTCACACAGCTAGTTAGGGACAAGGGGGAGATTTGAGTGCAGGGCTCTGCCCCCAGCTCAGCCTCTTCCCACGATACCCTACCTCTTCAGTGGAGACTTGGGCGGTCTCTTCTAGACTGGCTCTGCTTCTGTCCACTACTGATGGTCATACAGGTGGTCAACGTCTGTCAGGTGTTTGCCGTGTGCCAGACTCTGCTAAGCCTTGTACATCCTTTGTCTTACTTTGTGCCTGCTCAGGTCTGCAATGCCTCGTCTACCCTCTTGTTCTCCACCCCACAGCAAGGGTAGATCCAGGATGGCTCTCCAAACAGACCTTGGGCCCGTAGCTTCAATGGGAAAAGAGAACACAAACGCTTCTTGTCTAATTTGGCTTCCCAATGGCACAGCTTAGGTGCTGGTATTGGGGTGGGGGTGCTCCCTTCACTCGGTTATTCCCTTATCTACTCATTCATTCCTCTCTCTACCACTACTTCCTGAGTTCCTACTCTGTGCCAGGCATTTCCCCACAAATGAAATTCGGCTTCAGCTAAATTGTTTCTGGAGCAAGCATCAGATTTTCTTTTTTATTCTTTTAAAAATGTATTTGTTGCATGAAAGTGGAGTGACAGCAGAAAACAACATTTTAAAAAATATACTCGCATTCTCATCATCCTAATGGATTGACTTTTTATTTCCCTGTGTTTGTATTCTGTATCCAGAAGCAAATATATTTTTCACGTAGCCGTGCAGATATAACTGCTTTTTACTTTTTAAATTTCACATTATATGATAAACCTCTCCCCATATTCCAATAGTGTTCATACTCATCATTTTTAAAGGCTGAGTAATATTCCACTGAGGGACTGTTTTGTAGTTTATGTATCTATTTCCCTCTCTGGGACAAGCAGTATGTTTCCAATTTTTCACCTTTGTAAACAGAGATGCAATGAACTTCATGCAGGGAGCCTTTCGTTTCCAAGAATTATTTCCACTAGTATGAATTACCTAGTGTGGGATTACTTGGTTAAAGGGTGAGATCATCTTAATGACATGGGGGCTGAAGGAATTTTACAAGGTGTCAGCCACAGGGTGTCAGCCACAATTATTATCAACCCAGGGAACCCCGTAAGACCCTAAACATTCTCATCCACGGTGATGATGGGGTGCTGGGGAGCAGGTCGATCTGGTGAGGCAGGTTGGAAGGCTGTTTACAGGGCTATTACTCACCTTTTGCTGGTAACTCGGAATACCTTATTTTGCCCAATCCTCGTAATACCCCTGTGAGTAGGTGCTAACCCAAAAGGAAACTGGGTCCCAGAGAGGATAAGTGTCTTGATCAAAGTCACACAGGAGGTAGTTGAGTTGAGCCTCACACTGTGAGCGGCTCCCTAGCAGTCCAGGAAATTAAAGTCACTCACTGGGACAGACCCACAAACCTCCTTTGCCAGGCCTTCAGAACCCCACAGGAGGCTCGCTGACCACGAGGTCATTGAAATCAGTCTCCTCACAACTGCACTCCCGTGGTCTGGAATGTGGCTGTGTTGAATTGCATTTATGTGGTGACTTAGAAGACAGCCCAGAGCCTGAAGGGAAGGCATTTCACATGAGCCAAGCAGCCAAACACGTTCTTTTTTGGGTCCGCTGCATCTGCTTTCATAGACAGTGTGGCTTTGGAACTATTTCACTCATAGTTAGCTACAGGTGGACTACGTGTGATTGTGTGATGGTAGATCTCCATGAGGTTCTAGTTTCTTGTTAACTCATCCTGGTTGACCCTGAGCAAGTCATTTAACTTACTAGGTCTCAGTTTCCTCGTCTGGAAAATAAGGAATTTGGACCCGCCAGCTCTGAGGTCTCCATGGTGGTACAATGAGATGTCCTTGGCTCCTTGAGTTCCAGAACTGTCTTTCCCCCAAACCAACTGGGCCTCAGTTTCCACCTCTGGAAAACCAAGAGGTCGAGAGAAGATCCCAGGGTCTCTCCAGTTCTGAGATGTGTGATTCCTAATACTGTCCCATCTCTGACTTTCAATAAATAAAAGATGCCAGAGAGAATGTTCTCCAGGCCAGAGTTAATCAAGCAAAAAGAATGAGAGTCAGAGCAGCTGTGACCTGGGGCCTCCTGGTTCTGTTCCTGCAGAATTCTCCCCTCTCCTCTGCTGGAATCGGATGCTTTGCAAAGATAAACACTTGCAGCATGAGAAAGGCATTACGCATTAACTTGGGCAAATAGCCCCAAGGGTAGTCTTCAAGGTAAAGGTAAACCGTGGGTGGGGAATGTGAGCTGGAGCATTGGGCCACGATCTCTAGGGGAGGCGTTTGGTGGCCGCCTGGGGAGGAACTGGTCCTGACTCACCCAACCCCTGAGCCACCCTGGTGCTTCCCTGTCTGGTGGCCTGGGGCCAAGAGGACAGGTCATTGGGCCATCTCAGATCTGACGTCTTAGAGATCGAGGACCCACCACAATCCCATTTGTTCGTATATTCATTTGTTCATTCCACCGCACATTTAGTGAGTACCTGCTATGTGGCAAGGATTATGCTTAATGTTGTGGATACAACAGTAAATAAGACAAACTGTGCTTTCAAGAAGCTCATGGTCATAGGGTGGAGGCAAGTAAATAGACAACTGTTTTGCAGCTTGGTAACTGTTTTGATGGCTGAAGAATAGGAGAGGCATCTATAAGGTGGCTGGTGTGAAGGCAGCAGAGTACCCCATTGGTGGGTAGCGTCAACCGGTTCCCCAGATAATCTAGGGGATTCCAGTGAAAGGCTGGTCCTGAGGGGAGGAAGGACCATGGAATGTGGAAGGAGAACAAGCCCATGTGTGATCAGTATTGTCACCTCCAGACTCACGGAGCTTGAGGTCACGGCTGTAACCTGCACCCTGGGCCCTTTAGCTTTCCTGAGCCCCTGGGAACTCCCCGTCTCCTTTGAGACTCCTCAGGCCCTGGGGTCTGCAGCACAGCTCTTCCCATTCTCTGCATGTTCATTACCTGATGGAGAAATAAGGAGGGGTTCAGGGACTGGGGCAAGGCCAACAGCTGGCTAAAAAAATCAAACCAGGGCCAGAGTCCCATTTCTCCACCTCTCTCCAGCCTGTTCAGCACCTTTCTATGAATTCTGTGAACCTCCTTTAGATAGCACATTGCATGTCTTGGCAAGAGCACTCAGCCTTTGTGCCAAGAAAAAGAGGCCCTCTTTGGAGTGGGGATTTCAGCCTCCCCTCTCCCCTTTGTCCAGGCTCTTTTGGGCAGTAGAAGTCTACTGACCTTATGTGGCAGCTCTGGAGCCTACTCAGCTGGGTCTCTGCCTCCGCCAGCTGGAGTGCTCCAGCCATGCCATCTGAATCAGGCAGCTCCAGGACCCGAACTGGGCCACCGGTCAGTGGGGAAATAAAACTCTGATTGCAAAACACACCCAGCCAGGGTTCTGCCTTAAACCATTGCTAAATGAATACCTGTCCTTCCAGGATCCCTTATATTTTACCTAATCTACATTTGAGGGCAGTTGTTCTCAGATATCCACGTGCTTAAGATGCAGACTCCTGAACACCATCCCCAGAGCAGCTGATTCAGTAGGTCTGGGGAGGCCTGAGAATCTGCATTATCCCAAGGTGGCAGATCTTCTGAGAATAACCTGTCTGGTGGTTTAGAATATGACTTTCAATATCCCTGATGGACATAGATGCAAAAGTCCTCAACAAAATACTAGCAAACCAAATTCAACAGCACATTAAAAGGATCACACTATGATCAAGTGTGATTTATCCCTGGGATGCAAGGATGGTTCAACATATGCAAATTAATTGATTCACCACATTAATGGAAAGAAAGACAAGAATCATAAGATCATCTAAATAGATGCTGAAAAAGCATTTGAAAAAATGCAACATCTTTTCACAATGAAAACTCTCAAGAAATTGGGTATAGAAGGAACATGCCTCAACATAATAAAGGCCATACATGACAAGCCCATCATTAACATTGTGCTCAATGGTGAAAGGTTGAAAGCTTTCCCTCTAAGAGAAGGAACGAGACAAGGATGCCCGCTCTCACCACTCTTGTTCAGTATAGTACTGGGGTCCTACCTAGAGCAATTAGGCAAGAAAAAGAAGGAAAAGCCGTCCAAATTGGAAGGGAAGAAGTAACGTTTTCTCTGTTTGCTGATGATATGATCTTGTATATAGAAAATCCTAGGACTCTACTAAAAAGCTGCCAGACCTACTAAACGAATTCAGTAAATTTTCAGGATACAAAATCAACATACAAAAATCAGTTGCGTTATACACTAACAATGAACTATCTGAAAAAGAAACAAAGAAAACAATCTCATTCAATGCAATCTCTACCAAAATTCCAGTAACATTTTCCACAGAAATAGAAAAAACCGATCCAAAAATTTGTATGGAATCAGAAAAGAACCTGAATAGCCAAAGCAATCTGGAGAAAGAGCAAAGCTGGAGGCATCACACTTCCTGATTTCAAATTATATTGGAAAGCTATAGTAATCAAAACAGTATGGAATTGGCATAAAAACAGATGCATAGACTAATGGAACAGAATTAAGAGCCCAGAAATAAACCCACACATATATGCCTTCACTGACCTTGGCCCCAGGGGCCCTTGACTTCAGCTGTTGAATAGGTCAGGGGGTCAGGCTCCTTCCCATTGGGTCCTCAGTGACCTGAAAGAGTAAAGGTGACCCCACAGGGAACTTCCCAAGCAAGCAGCTTCCTCTCTGGCAGAACTGGGCCTGGCAGATGGCAAAGTCCTTGGAGCCATGGGGAGCCAAGGTGTGAGAGATTCTATTGAAGGAAGCCGGGCAGTGAGGGCTGTGCTGGGACCCAGCGGTGCCCACTCGGCTGGCTCAGCTTTGGAAGAAGTAGAGGGAGTGAGAGGAGAGCAGGTGCTTCTCAGTCTGGAAGCTTGTGCCCAGGGCCTCTCAGGGCCTTCCAGAGCCTGCTGCTTCTCCAGCAGCCAGTCCATCTGGGCTGGCGCTCATGGAGTGCTGGGAGTGGGGATATTTTAGATGTGTCAAAAGTGATGAATGTTGGAAAGTGCCATCGGCATCTCTGGGAACTCACAGTTCACGCTGGCAGCTAAGATGTGCCAGGCTCTTTGGAAGAAATTGAACTCTGGAGGGAACTGGGAAGTCTCTGAAACAGGCAGCTCCTGCTTGCCGACCCAGATGTGGGCGGCAACGAGGCGGGCTCTGCAAGTGGACAAAGAACAGCGAGATCTGTGGAGATGGGGCCTGGCTGCGGCAACGCCTGAGGGCTTGGCAGAAAGAAGTGGCATTCAGAGAGGCCACCAGGAAGGAGCAGGAGCATAGCAAAACAGAAGCTGGCCAGCGGGGGCCTGGAGTCAGCAGAGCTTGTTGCCCGCAGCATCAGGGCTGCAAGCCCGGCCTGTGTAGTGCTCTCCGCCAGAATTGAGTGGGGGCAGCAGCCAGAGCCGGTTGGAGGCTGGAGGTGAGCCCGGTCCTTGGCCCAGAGTGAGGCTGAAACAAGGCTCCAGTGTGTCTGGATTTGAAAACGCCCCAGGGAGTGTGTTACTAGAATTCAGCATCTTCCCTGAAGAGAATGCACCCTAAGAGGAGGGTGCTTTGGCATTCTGTTTTCAGCACGGCTTTGTTTTGTCTGTCGTTTTCCTGGTTCTCCGCTTCTGCAGGGAGATGGCTCACCTCAGGCTATGTGGGAGCTGGGGGTTGGGGAAGCTGAAGCAGTGGTCACTCTGGACCATAACCTGTCAGAAGAAGGAGGGTGGATTCACCCCATGAGGGGCTAGGTACCGCCAGTCTTCGGTGAGTCATGGGGAGGGAGCAGAGTGGTGAGAGGGGTCCTGGATATGGACCACGGGGGTTTTGGGGTGGCGGCGGTGCAGAACCCAGCCGGACCACCTACTCTGTCTTCTGCAGAAGGATGAGTGAGGGGGAAGGTGTCAGGGATGGAGGGAGAAGCTCACATCAGCTCTACCTGCCTCCAGGTGCTCTCCATAGAAGACCCAACAACTCTCTCTTCCGATCATTGTCCTCCTCCTGCTTCCTCCCACAACCAGCAGAGAAAGAAGGAGGAGAGAGAGAGCGTTCATGTCATCTTCATGATCGTCATCATCACCACTATCATCATCAGTGTCAACGCTCGGACTTATGCAAACTGCTTAATTTGTCGAGGACTGAACTTGTCTTTCCTCTTCCTACTTCCAACCAGCTTTTGCTGACTTCCTCATTCTGCTCCCACGTCCCTCTTCTTCCAGGCACCCACTCAGCCCCCTAAGTCAGCTCCCATTCCTCCCTCCTCTTTCTTCCCCTCCCACTATCAGCAACTGCAACTCACTGTAGCAGTAACGTGCACGCCTGCTCCCCGGCATGATCTGTTCTACCTTCTCTGTCCAAACACTCTGCTCCTGCAGGAGCCCTTAGGGGATCCCCCACTGCCCACTCTCTCCTGCCTCCGTGACTTTGTGCTGGCAGTTCCCTCTGCTAGGAGTTCTCTCACCCTTTCCTACACCTCAGCCCTCGACTTGGAAGGAGGGCTGAGAACTTGTGCTTCAGGGTTGAGGCTTCAGGAAACTCTGGACAACTCATGAGGGGAGGGCCCCCTTCTGTGCACACCCCAGGCCCCCATGCAGACCCTGAGGGTGGGATTCTTCATCTCCTTGCTGACTTCAAGACTAGGCTCTAAGCCGTATGTGTCTTATGCATCCGCGTGCTCCCAGCACCTGGCATAAGGCTGGCACGGAGGTGGGTTATTTGCTGAATTAATTAACAAGATAATTTTATTTTCCTGCTCTTCCCAGGGAAAGATTTGTCACAGTGAGCCCATATTGAAAGGAGGAGGTGGGTGGAGGCAGGGACCCGAGCTGTGTCACTTCGAATATACACAGTCCCCTTCCCGTGGTCATGAGCTGTTGGGCTACTAACACAGCAACCCTGCCTCTGTCTACTCTCTAGGAATGAGCTGGAAAAAAGGAATCAACAGAGAGGAAGAAAATTCTGGACATTCTTTGGAATCCTGCGTGGTCCTTTGTTTTGTCCTTGCCTCAAAGTCCTCCAGACCCTAAAACAGCCTCTTTTCCTCTCTTCCCTAAGTCTTTGGTAATTCCTCATTTGTTTTAAGCCTTATAATTCAGTTTTTAAAAATTGCCTTTGTGAAACCTTTTCTGATCTGGAACTGTTTGTTGAGATATTAATAAGAGTTATGGGGAAAAAAGAGTTTTGTTGTCAAATAAATTTGAGAAATGTTGTATTAAGCAACATTAATCAGGCTTCCTATTGGCCAGACAGAGACATTAAGATGCTACTTACTGTGCAGCTAATCTGTTGTAGGGGCAAATGCTATGCAGTGGTCCTCAAACTCAATTACTTTGCAGTAGGCCTGCAAAGTACATTTTTCCTCCCACCTCCCACACCCTTTTGGTGGCTAAGCATTTCTGGGACTGATATCCCCAGGCCCCACTTGAGGAAATCCTGTCCGAGGACAGTTTTCCGTCAGGCCTGTGCCCAGGAAAGCTGCACTCACACCATCTCTGTGTGTTTGTGTCTCAATGGCTGGGGCTGCTGGAATGAAGGCCCGGCCTCATGTGCAGGACACAGGCCCGGGTGCTTTGAGAGGTACAAGGGTCTTCTCAGATGTTTCTTACGGGCAGTGATGCAGGAGAGTGAGAGCCACACAGCATCTTGCCACAATCATTGTTGCTGGATTCCCGTCACCCCAAGATGACCACTGTCTTGTACTTTTTGTTGTGTATTTCCTTCCAGTCTTTTTTCATGCAGATATGTGTCATGTAGGATTTTACTTATGGGTTTTCGTAATGTGCAGAGGGTCTGTTGATTAAAACTTACAGAATGAATAGAAATAGGGGCACTATAGAGCAATATTTTGGCTGGCTAGAAAGTGTGGTTTTTTTTGTTTTTTTTTTTGCTATGGAAGATTTGCCCTGAGTTAACATCTGTGCCAGTCTTCCTCTGTTTTATATGTGAGCTGCCACCACAGCAGGGCCACTGATGAGTGGTGTAGGTTGGTGCCCGGGAACTGAACCCAGGTCACCAAAGCAGAGCACGCTGAACTTAACCACTAGGTCACTGGGACTGGCCCAAGTAAGTGATTTATTTTTAAACAGACAAATTTAATGGTTTTCAAATTGCGCTCTTAGAATCCCAAGCCCAGGGACCCTGTGGAGGTACTTTGGGGGCTGCTGTGGGACTGCAGAGAGGATGCAGCAGCTGAGAGGGCAGGCTGTGACTGCCCACCTCTGTGTCAATCCAAACAGCACTGCTTTCAGGTTTTAATGGCTTCTGTTTGAGATTCTGTTTGCAGGAGGTCTTCCATAGCTGACATATGTTCAAAACCCACAAATCCAGACCAATCGCTCATTTGACAGATGAAAACAAAACTAAACAAAAACTGTGGTGCCGAAAACATCAAACACGCGTTACTCAATCACACCTTTGGATACTGGATCTAGAACCCAGGTTTCCTGACACACCACCGAACGTTTTTCCCCCACACTCTTGAGTTTGTTTATTTCCTTCTGACTCAGCCGATTTCCAAAGAGAAGAATATAAGCCCACAAGGAGCAAATTGCAGTGAAGACACCGTGGTAAATCCGCTGAGAAACAGTTGGGGGAAAGGTACAGCGTAATCCCATCTGTTCCTCATTTCATCTGTCTCACTGCCGTTCTTCTGACGGGAGGCCTTAAAATGTAAAGAAACGTCTGGTAAGAGCAAGGGCTGCTGGTGCCAAGAATAACTCATAAGGAGACACAGCACAATACCCCAGTCTCCAGTGAAATGGACTGTTTAATCAAAACTGCCGCATTCTGTAAATAGTCAGTCTATTGATGAAGAGCTCTGCAGATAGGGGAGCAAGCCTCCTGAGAAATTTGGGAGGAACTAAAGAAGACAGAGAATAGTGGCAGGCATGCCTGGCTTGATTGTGGGGGTGGGGGTACCTCCAGCGGAGGGGGGCTAAGTTGAGTCACCAAGTACCTACCACATGCCCACCTGAGTTCAGTGCAGCGGTGGGGTGGGGTGGAGCTTTGCCTGGCTGGTTAGAAGTGTGGTCCCTTTAATTATAAAGATGCTAATTCTCATTGTGCACTTCCCGTGCCCTGTGCCCCGTACAGTTATCACCACTTACAAAACGCTCTGAGGCAGCCAGAGTCGTCCTCAAATGCAGGTAGCCTAGTTCCAGAGTTGACATTCTTTTTTTTTTTTAAGATGATGAAGCTATTTATTTATCTGAAGTACAATTCATGCCCAGGAAGGTGCACAAATCCTAAATGTATAGCTCCGGGAGGGTCTACCTATGTTTACAACTAGTGTAGCCAGCAATCAGAGCAAGACAGAGAGCATTTCCATTCCCAGATGGCTCCCCACACCTGCTCCAGGTAATATCACCAAAGATGTAACCTGTATTCTGACTTTCACCACCAGAGATTAGTTTTGCCTGTTCTTGAACTTTACGTGAGTGGGTTCGCACAGAATGTGCGCTTTTGGGCTAGCCGCCTCTCACTCAACAGTATGTGAGGTTCGTCCGCGTTGTTGCATGGACAAAGCCTACATCTTAACTACTACGCCATACTGCCTCTCATCAGGTTAACAAACTTCACATTGCCTTCCGGAAATGTCTCCTCGGAAAGTGGCGTGGGTTATGCAGAGTTGGCTGAGTCTGAAGGGGTGGAGTGAAGACACAAAAGGTTAAGCTCAGGGTGTGGCCAAGAAGGGAAACTTTTAGATAATGCCCGGGTGTTGTGCAATTCTCAGCCACTCACTGCTGAGTTCCACGGTCCTAGACTTATTCCCCTAAGCTAGTTCCTCTTTCACTTTTGTGTTTCTCCTTTAGCAGAATGAACTTTGTCACTGTCACCTCCTCAAACATGTGGGCTGCATTCTCAGGCATCATTTAGGGCAGTGGTTTTCAACTGATGGTTGATTTTGTCCCCCCTTGCTCCCTTCCTGCAT